TGCAAACGAAAAGTGGTTAATCATTAGCTGTAAAGTCTGCAAAAAAGATTGTTTTATCCTTTTGACTTGGTGACATCATTCTTCTCGACCTTTTCCGTTGAAACAGCCGGAACAATAATAAACATGATGGTCTCAGTTCTAAAGCCGGCCAACAGATCAAAATACCTTGTTAGAAATTTTGCTACTCTCGAGTACAGAGGTATTACACAGTTGGCAAGTGAACTTTAATCTTACTTTAATCCTATTTGTTTAACAACAGACAGCCTAAAGTTATGAAGAACCCATTGGGTATAACACATGCAACTGCAATAGAGAGACGACACGGTAGAAGATGTTGAAAAATTGAATGACGGTTCCACAATGTTGATGAGAGGTACAAACGAATGAGGATGAAATGCCCTAAAGAGATTATCCTTTCTTCTAGTCTCATTCCCGTGCATCCACTTGGAAATACTTGGGGTTGAGAAATGAGTATGCCATTTCAAAAAAAAATCTGCCTGGTCGTTGCCGCAGTCACATTAGTGTCGCTCTAATGCGTAAAGACAGTTGCTTTAACGAAATTTTTGAAATGACGGTCAAACGACACATAAGGAACGACTATTTTTTTTCATCCCAAGATGTCCTAATTAAGTAGAAAGACTAAAATGAGAGACTGAACTATTCGACAAACTGGTTCAGCATAAATCATTAACTCCAGTAGGCGCCATTCTCATGCTGGAGCTAAAATATTGCTGATGGTCTACTAGGAGCCTTCAATGCAATATGGATGAGAAAGGCATTGGAAAAACGTAGCTTCTTCTACGATACAGTAAAAAAAGTCATACGGCAAGTGTTGAAGAACTGAGAACGTAACAGGTATAACAATCCAGATATGTTCTGCATTCATAAGCAGCGCAAAGTGATTCTCATACGGTATACAAAGACATAAAAATACCTGCTGCCGTAAATTTTTTCTGATCCAAGAGCATCCACATAGGTCCTGAGCAAAGTTTCGATAGCACTTGGTTTCAGGACATGAGCCTATATGCAATAGGAATTATGCTTTACCAAACAAATTAAAACATCTTGAAGTGATGATAACCAAAACAAAAGGTTAGAAATGCTTATTCGCACCTGAACAGCTTAAATGGGCTTAACAAGCGGTGGCGGCAGTGACAAAAAACAATATAAGTTCAGCTCTGCACCTTAAAAGCCGGGCGCAAATTTCTATTATTAACCGTGAACTGGCATCAGCAAGCAGTTCGCTCTACTCTTTCAGTCGAACAGTTGAGAAATGGGAAAAAGTACATGACGAGGGTGAAGTGTGAACAATGAAACAACAGGGCGTTCTGGATGATCATACAACCACCTAAGAACTACATCCATGCTACAAAATGTTGTGTTATGGCTCTGATTCGCCTTGATCCACCTGAGAGTTGTCTAAATCAGCAAAAACTGTAACAACTAAATAAATAAACATAAATTTTCAAAGATCAGCCTGACAAAAACTGGGCCTTTGAATTCTCCAGAAAGGCATCTAAAAGTGCTAGGCTGGTCAGTAGCTTGCAACCGACGCAAGTTCAGAAGCTTCAGAAACGCGAGGTGGTGGTAGGCAGGATGAGCAAGTGGTTTCTCGAATATTTCAAGCGATAAAAGCCATGCTTGAAGTAATTAGTGTGCTATGACGGAGAGAGCTGAGCAACGAAACCATCCATCTACCTAGGTATCTTCCCACCCTTACTTATGATCACAAGTGCAAAATATTGACGGAAAGCGTGCGATATCGGCCATAAGAAGCTAAGCACATCTGAAAAATTGTTATATCAAAATGCTCGATAAACAACTGAATTTTGGAAGTCGCCGATTTCTTCGCATGTATGACACTCAATTTTTTTAGATTGAGCATTCACAACTAGGGTAGTTTAGATACGTAATAAGGGCATCAAAAAAAGAACTCAAGAAAAATTCTCCTTGTAAAGCCACATGAACAAGGCAAATACCGGAAGTTACATACACTAGGAAGGAAAGTAGTTGTCCTTTCTGGCAGCACAGGCAAAATTTTTAAATTTTCAGGAGAGTCAACTGGATTCATGACGTATTTTTCGCATGAATATAAACGCAGAGCTAATAAAAATAGCACCCATGGAAGATGTGCAGATGTGGGCATGACAGGAAGGGTTGGGAGCATCTGGACCATTCACTTGAGATTACGATGAAAATCATTCATTACGCTGTGGAAGTTCTGAACCGATGATGGCGCCTGGATGAATCAAAACACGGCAACAGTGTTCATTTCATTTCATTGTAATGAAGCATACGCGCAAACAAATATTTCGCCAACTCCACTGACGAAAACTTACCTCGGCAACAATTACACTCAGCACTTCGTTCGACGCATCGCCACTGACATCGCTGTCTTTTAAAAAGTTAATCAGTGACACAAGGACGTCCTTAATTTTACCATAATTCGACAACGGATTTCCATGCAAGCCTAAAACATCATGGTAAGTAAACACAAGATATTAATATTTAAGATGTCACCTCACCTGCCAGAAGAGCTTTGGCAATTTTGGCGATCTTTTCTGGAATATTCTTGGAAGCATAGTCCAAAATTTCTCGAACCTAAATTTTAACCTTTTAATAAAAATAATGAAACGAAAATCAATTTTTATAATTATGCATGTTTTAAACTGTTACGAAAACTGAAATTATAAGTGAATTAATACTTGTTTACTACTACAACAGATTCTGGGTACCGTCTTCGTCAGAGAAGGAAAGTCTTATGGGGTTCCGCTATCCGTTGTTGTTCTTCAATCAAACCTGTTCATCAGTTTCTCATTTCTCTCGAAGAAAGGGGCAATAAAATCTATCGCCTGAGAGAGCCTATTCCGCCAATTTTTCATAATATTATAAAATATATTTTCCAATGCGCCATTTCTCACTATTGCATAGAACTGCCTTCGTTATAAGATTGTTTTTAAATTACATTTATATCTTGTGCTGACTTTCCTCGGTTATCAGATGTGTCAAAGTGAAATGCAACGACAGAAACAGCATATCAAAACAACAAAGCACTATACTGTAGCCCGATTACTCGAAGGTCAACGACCAACTGTCCGCGCTTCGACTGTTTGCATCGAAGTACAGTCGGGTGAATTCTTTGCTCAAGTAAATTAAAAATTAATAAAGGAAAATTCATGCCTTGCCTTGGTTTTGAATTCGAAATCTCTAAAATGCAAAGAACCCATTCAGTCACTGACTCACTGCCCCACTAACCAGTTGCACCAAGAAATCGTACCTTCCAAAGCATCCTAGAAAAGGCAAATCTTTGCCGAAAACTTCCCATAAGGTTAAACATCATGTGGTGCCATTATTCCTTTTACCACGAGATATTCAGAAACAAAGCGAACGAAGCAAATAGAACAGGTTGGAAAGAGAAGAAACAATAAATGATGAAAACAGACTGAAACAAATGAAACTACTAGCAATGCCTTCCTTTCAGGATTCGCAAAAGTGGCCAAACCATCGCAACCTGATTTGTCAATTTGTTTAAGACTATGAACCAAAATTCTCTCGGATTTCTGTACTCCAGGGCAGCGACTAGTCTCAGAAAGCCCATTTCAGCCGCTTGTACCCGGATTGAAACCTTCTCAGTTATGGTGCACGATTCATGACCATAGATAAGCATGGAGATGAAGATCGACTTGAACGCCAACAGCCTATTTATCAGACAGCTCTGCTTTAGTCGCAAAGGTTTATGTTCGTTCAGGCACACCGTCACTGGCTACTCCAATCCGTCGATCGATCTCTTCCTCCAATTTTCCATCACTAGTAAATACCATTACGAGGTAACTGAACTTCCCCACATGCTCCACTGAGTTTCCATAAATGTGAAGAG